TATATATATTTATATATATATATATATATTTCAATGGATCATTAATAGTGCACAATTTGCGAAATATCTGCCAAAAGAGAAGCTCTACTTACTCTACTGTACATGTATCGTGTGTGTGCGAGAGAGACAGAGCGAGAGAGGGAGAGAGAGAGGGAGAGTGTGTGTAGGGCACCAGCACATGTTGGTAGGAGGAAGAGAAGGAAATGAAAAAGAGTCCTTTGCACAGAGATACAGGCCTACCTTTCTGCTCTGGCAACAGAAATAAATTTGCAGCGAGTGAGCGATCAATAGGTGAAAATTGATACTTGGCGTACAGTTTGAACATCTATGAACTCGGAGGCTGTTTTCTTTTTTTATAAAAAAAAATCAGTCGACAAGCCTGCTACACTACTGTGTTCAGAAGTATTTCACAAGTAAAAGCACTCACACTCGCAGCACAGTGGGGGAAACAGAGCGCGTTGTGCAATAAAATAAGCACATACGCCACATTGTATAGCGCGAGAAGGAGCGCAATTTGAGCCCGACGGAGGATCCGTGGTTGTAACTGTAACAAACTGACGAGTTAACCCGTTTCGCTCCATTCACGAGGCTGTGGGGCAACACACCGCCTCGGAGCCGACTTGCCAAAGGCGATCTGCCACTCTATATAACCTTATGAATATTCCCAAAAAAATCCTCCACCCCCCTCCTCCACCTACTGTCGCCATTTTATACATTGGCGACTTCATATAAACTGCCTCCACTACAGCACCAGATGAAAATTCAATATTCAATAGCGACACATAATTCCAGTAAACAACTTTGGAGATCGCACCTCGTCACCCAGTGAGACGTATTCGTGTTTCGGATGAATAAGATGTGTCCTTACCTCAGCCGTCGGTGGTAAAAAATGGAATCCGACATTAATATATAAATGAATAATATTGGATTAGCTCCGATCGCTGCGCTTTGCGAAGAAGAGGAGGCGAGCTGGGGGTGGGAGCTCTCCTCAAGTGAACCCGGTGAACTGGCGTGAACCCGTCAGTGACCACGGCAAGGTACATTACATTACATTACCTTTCCACCCCTCCGCTACACTGTATGAAGACTGCAAAACAACTATGGTCGGCGGTGCAGGACGAGGCTGCTCCAAAAAAAATTAAAGCGAGTGTATTTCCTATGAACACGTGATACAGAGCGTCATCCAAAATCCAAAAGCCCTTTCATCTAAAATTTTGGAGAGGGGCGGGGATGAGATGGGGATGTGTGTGTGTGTGTGTGTGTGTGTGTGTGTGTGTGTGTGTGTGTGTAAGGGGGAGGAGGGTACGTATACTGAGCCCAGCGCACATTTGGGTATATCGTTATAGGGGTAAGGCAGTGCATTCAACACACGCGGGTTATAAGTAGCTGCAATGGCATAAGTAGCTACAATACAAAGCAGGCCGATCAGATGTTTTGTATTGTGTATATTTGGAATTTGACAGTTCATTCATCTCCCGTTTCACTGAGCTTCATCACCCAAAAGATAACCCTAATTAGGTCACATGCTTTTTTCAATACATGGCTGTCATCTTTAGAAAAAAAAATACTCTTGAAGAGCTACTATGAATATTAATCGTTGTGGGAATTGTCATTTAAAGCACAGGCCTATTAGACCACCGGCTTAAAATAGACAGTTACGCACAAGCATAATAGTGATAACACCAATTTACGCAGACGCACAGTAACTGTAGCCTAATTGGACTTGTCTGCATTTAACTTGAAACAGAAGAACACATTTCCCTTTATTCAAATTAGGAGTGGTAGTTATTCGCAATGTAAAGGGAAAAGGGTTTGTATGGCCGTGACCCTTGTGACCTTGTTGGCCTCATGCGCGTAAAAGCGCACAGGAAAAAATCGGACGAGCGTTAAACAGAAAAGCTGTGAATTTAAGGGCTAATGGTAAAACAGCATACCTAAAAGGGAGCAATCGTGACTTAAAATGGAAAGCATATCATCAAGCGGCATCAAAGATACATGAGGACATGTTTACATGGTAATATTAAGTATGATAAGGTCACTCTAAATCCACTAATCCACTGGACAAACAATATGGACACATGTCTACTTAAAAGTATTGCAGTAGCCTAACTTCTTAGGCATGTGTAAACTAGGTTATGTGTATATGAAACAAGTAGAGTGCCTGCAGCCGGATGCCCACAGTATATACAAAAACAGCGTCAGAACATATAGGACAAATGCGTGCCTCCAGTATTTACGGAACATGGATTAGCTATCCCCTCCCAGTTTGTCCTCACTGGGTTTAGACGTTGCCTACAGTCAGGAAAAACAAAGATAATCTATAAACAAGATGAATCGCAATAAAAAAAAAGTAAGACAACTCAACCAGCAGGTCCGGTGTGCAGGAACTTGTGCATGCTGTGCTGTAAGGTTAAAAGACACATGTTGATTTAGAGTTCAGAGCTGTAGAGTATTTGTTTGCTTTAGTGGACGGTTTGTGATCTGGTGGAACTTAGTGGATCTGCTTCTCTTCTGGTTATACCGGCTTGTCAGGTTAAAAAAATATATATTCTGCAATTATTTTCCCTTAACTGCATCACTCCATAAATATGTAAAGTTTATGTGAAATATTACTATAATTCAATAGATTGTGGTATATTGTCCTAATCTTGAGTTTCACTGTGACAGATGAGTAAACTGCTTCCTGTGTTTTTACTTCCATCTAAAGTCAGAGAGTCTGTATTTTTATTTTCTTAATAAACTGTGTTTTTATAAAAAACAAAACAAACAAACGTTGAGCTACGAGCTAAATGAATCCTCAGAGACACGATATCACGAAAAAGCGTAGGAGTGGGACCTCTGGTGATCCCTGCTATCTGCGGTGTAACCGGATCAGGGTAGCAGAGGGACGTACAGGAGGCTTGTTTTCCTCCAAATGAGCCAATGAGACAACCTTTACATTACACTGACAGCCTGGCTCGGCGAGTCTGGTGACGCCGCTCTGGTTTGACAACCACCCCGCAGCCAATGCGGATCCACGTCGAGCACGAACGGAGGGAAGCAACAAAATACAAATTTCCTTCCTGCAGGTCAAAGCGTTACCTGCCCGCTGCTGTGTGATTCAGGTAAAAGGAAGCGGGAGACGCGGCGATGGCCCTGTCTCAGTGCCTGGACGACTCACCTCTGAGGTTTGGTCCAAAACCTCGCGGGACAGACGAGCTGAACCTACAGGAAGTGTACAATGAGAGGCACCGGCTGGCTCTGGAGGAGCTGCTGTCCGGGGGTCTTGATAACTTTCTGGACTTTCTCGTGAGAGAGAGGATCCCCAACTTTCTGTCGGACGATGAGATCCAACAGATCAGGAGCGCCGCCGTGTCACCGCGGTGCTCGTCTTTCCACGGGGAGGAACAGGCGCTCGAGCGGTCGCTCAGTAGCACCCTGGACTGCTCCTCGGTCACTTATTTCCCAGAGGTGTCAGACGTGGAGCCGCCGCTCCTGGAGCTCGGATGGCCCGCCTTCACAGCAGGCTCCTACCGGGGAGTGACGCGGGCCGTGGCGCACTTCCAGCCCAGCTACGGCGAATGCATTTACAGCTGCAAGGAGGCTGCAAGGCGCATGATTAAAAGTGCCAGAGAGGTACGCACAGGCCCGCGCACACGCACATATCTGCTGTCATTCATTCTATTTTGCATGCCCTTAAAATAAACTGTCCTTTAATGCGTGTCCTGTATCACACTGAAATGTGATATTCACTTGAAGTTTGTTTTTTACACCATTATTTTTGCACAGTCCTTTGTAGTAGTCCTCCTACAGTATCTCTTATTTGTGCGTTATTATCCTAAAACAGGACTTTTATTTTGGTTTTGTCAGGTGACATTTATCACCTGGGCTTTATCTCCCCCCATCACCACCACAACAACCACACAGTCAGTAAGCCAGTATATGCAGACACTTTTTTGCATCATTTCTGGAGGGAAAACGTAAAAAAAAGTCTCCATTGTCCACATGAAACTCCCTTGATCACTTAGAATTTTAGAAGTTCGTGCTTTGAAATCTGTATTAGAAGAAATCACCAACCTTAAAAGGACGGGGGAAAAAATGCAACAAACAAAAACAAAGCATGAATATTTAATGTGATGTTCCTGACGGGAGCTGTCAGTACAGCCTCTGGTTTTGAAAAGAGACATTCCTGCACGAGGAGAGAGGGAGTTTGTAGCACCTCAGGCCTGTGTAGAACCTGCGTACCAGATGTGCCTCGACTTGCTTCGCTCATCTCCATTCCCTCTTTCGCTAGAAATGTTTTCAAACACTGGATTTTCTCCCAGGTTTAGAGCTTAACGGTGGTGTTGTGCATGTTATGTGCCGACAGCCGGGCCAATCCTTCTAAAAATATTCTAATCCTGGTCGAGCTGTAAGATTGTTTGTTCTTTTGTAATGTTACACCACTCACTGCACAATGTCTTTATTGTACAAAGAAGGCCACTGACTGTAACGGCACACACTGAGCATGCACTGCTGGTGGTCATCTCAAAGGAACGGCCCCATTCCTGAGTTTCTATGAATTTTAACTCTGCTTCTATGCTGCCTCTTGAAAACAAGCATCCCCCAACCCAAAGCACACACACACGCGCACAAACATCATCCAAATAAGGCGTGGTACAAATGACAAAGCTGCGTGTGGATAAAACACCAGTTTGAAGCGATAAATCTAAGATATGTAAACGTCCGTGTCTAATCCTCGACATGCAACCTTTACCGCAGCGTGTCAAATTCCATTCCTCCTCGTGAAAAAGGAGAAATCTGGGTGCAAAACAAAGCTGGGGAAAAATGAGGCAAACCCTACAGTGCACCTACTTGTCTCCTGTATAAAAGTCATTTGTTTGCTGACCAAGCGTTACTGCCGATTGCCATGGTAACAGACCACAGTCAATAGAAAGCTCATCAGCACACACATTACAGGGAGTGTGTCAGACAGAGATTCACGGCTCTGTTTGAATAGGGCCTTGTATTTGATAATAATGAAAACACAATCATGTGTTACATCTGCGAGAGCACGGCTGCGGCCCCCCGAAAAGAGAATTCTATTATATTACCTCTGTAATTTTCCACTGCAGGTGATTGCCATAGTTACAGACTCCCTGACAGACCTGGATATCTTTAAGGACCTTCAGGAGGCCTGCTCCCAGCGCAGAGTCCCTGTCTACATCCTGCTGGACCAGTCGTGCGTGCCCGCTTTCCTCAAGATGTGCAAAAATGTCAACGTTCGCCTGGATGACCTTCGGGTATGTAGCTGGTTTGTTTAAGACAAGCATGGCTCTGTGTGCACAACATGAGCATCAGATGGCATCCCAAACCCCCCCCCAAAACATGTCTCTAATCCTTTGCAGCAAATGAAGGTGCGAACTATAACCGGCACAACTTATTACATGAGATCTGGAGCGAGGATTACGGGTAAAGTTCACGAGAGGTTCATGCTGGTTGATGGAAACAGAGTGGCTACAGGTTTCTACAGGTAAGAGCCCGCTAGCCATCGTGCCCTCCTGATTTATTAGACTGTAAAGTTATGCATCTGTCTTGCTGGGTCTGCTTCTTACCTTCAGCTATATGTGCTTAAAATTCAATTCAGGTTCAACTGGACTGATGGCAAACTAAACAGCAGCAACCTGATTGAGCTTTCTGGTCAGATAACGGAGAAATTTGACGAGGAGTTTCGTATCCTATATGCCCAGTCTCTACCCATAAACACTCACGGACCTCCAAGTGTCCGCAACAGCGGCATCTTTGAGCACCTCAAACACTCAGTTGCTTCCTCCCCTCACCTGCGTAGTGAGAGGCCAGCGTGTCTGACAAGCACGCCCAGCCGTAAGCCACAAACGCTAGCATTGCAGCTACCTTGTGACCCCGCATCTCCACATAAAGCCAGCCCAGAGTCTGACACTTCGACTCTAAACGACGAGTGGATGGAGCGGCAGCACGTTCAGGAGGAGATCCTTGCTGGCAGCACGACTCCACATTTCTCTGCAGAGCAGCAACCAGAAAAAGAGACGGAGACCCCCAGCACCTGCCACGTGTCGACTCAGACGAGGCGGTCGGTGACGGAGGCTGAAAGCCAGACCGACCTGCAGCTCCCGCAGCATCTTAGCATCATTACTCAAGTAAGCAGAGGGCCGAGCCAGGACACCTCTCCCCACTTGGTGTCTTCCAGACAGCCCGTGCCCACCCAGGCAGCTCCAGACACCACTTTAAAGGATTGCTTCCGCAAGCTGACCAAAGAGCGCCAGCACCACTACGCAACCATCCGCTCCAAGCTGGAACACATGGTGACCGCCCTGTCCGAGAGGGGGGAACTGGTGGACGTCACCAACGTGACTCAGGGGCTTGGCGCTCGTGGCAGTCAGAGGATACACAAAGACTGTGTGCAGGAACCCAATCCCAGAATGCCTGCTGACAGTGCGGGCATGGGAACATGGCCAAGAGCCAGATGTGTACACTAGTTTGTCTTCGGGGATTTTAGTGGTGGTGGAAATGTTACAAAGTTTCTCTGTGCTAAATAAATCATGTTGGCTTATGTAGGAGAATTTCAGCTTTATTCTCTTTGTCTAATTTTCTGCAGTGCCCGTTTTTTTTCCTCCTTCTTTTCATCCTTTGTCCTTCCGATGTTGAAACAATCCTTTCCAAAGAGGTAACAGACCTGCAACTGACATCGACGTGGCAGAAATTCTAACCAAAGACAACGTAATAAGCGTGTCTTACTGTGAATATTGTAACACTGAGCTGTTTAAAATGGAGTCATATCTGCTGAAGTGTGAGAGAAAACGAATATAAGCACTGGTGTTTTTTTTTTGTTTTGTTTTGTTTTTTAAACTCAAATTTGTCTGCTGTAGTTACATTGGAACATGATCCTGAGGAGCAGCTGTGCCTTGCAGATAAATAAAGTAGTATTTTGCTGTATTGCTGCTTTGCTTCCACATTTCCTTTTTCTTTTCTTTTTTTTGTTGTCTCTTTTATCCTCGATGCTGTTTAAATGGGAGACAACAGAGCTCGGAAAATATTTGCTCAGAAGTTCCAGCATACACAAGGAGGCAAACCGCACTTAAGTGACTTCACGAAAAGAGCGAGCACCTGCGCCTCGTGCACCGCCGTGCCTTCATGCAATTAGCTGAGAGACAGCATCTGTGATACTGGCACCTTTTGCTGATTACGCTGGCAATCACGGTTTCTGTCCAGGGTGGATCTGGAGAACGAACAGCACCGCAGAACACAAGTGTAGATTAGGTTGAATCATAAGTAAACGCTTCTTTACACACAGATGGAATTTAAAAAAAATATATAACTTCTTACTGCTCTGTTCCATTTTAGATTCATTTTTCACAGAGATTTTTCTCAACAAGTAACAGTTTAACTGAAACAACAGCTTTTTATGCTTTAGTCACAAAAAAGAAAGAACTCGGCTGTCATCTGGGCAGAGCTCTAAAAATTGAATCACGGCTGTTTATTTGTTTAATGTGTCGCTAAGCTGGGCACAAACAGTGTTTCAGTCTTCGTATAGCACAAAGGTTAAGCACAAAGGTCCCACTGTAAAATGCCCAAAACGCACCAGTGTCTTGGCTATGGTCTGAAAGTGCGCTCTGTTATAAATGTGTTACTCACACCATGCTTTATGTGACTAATGTTCAACTACACCGAGAAGTCAAGGTGCAACTGCTCCACAACAACGTGTGCAGATGGCTTAACCGAGAAGAGATAGGAGCGTGTGATTTTAATACACAAAGGGGAGAATGAAATGATTGTGTGCGCCATGAGATCTTCTCAGGTTTAACTACATTTCTTTATGCACTTGGATTAAATGTGAGGAACTAAACCTTTTGTGGCATGTTTTAAAGCAAAACTCAGTGTTTACTATTCATTGCGCAGTAGAGTTTTATAGACACATTAGTCCACTTGACAAATTACACTATAACAATAAAAGTAGCACTGCTGATTGTATACACTTGGATTGAGATCTGGTGATCATTTGTTTAATCAGTATCTACTTAACTACTGGGCCGTACGAGGCATTGCTTTACAGAAATTCAATTCAATTTGCCTCAAGGTGCTTTATATTATAAAGTAGAGACCGTACAATAGTACAGAGAAATCCCCAACAATCAGATGACCCCCCCCCCCATGAGCAACAAACAAACAAACAGTGTGAAGGGCGGAAAACACGACAAAAGAAACTACTCTCCTGTATGCAGATCAGTTACCTGAAGCTCCTTCGAAATCATCTGCATCATTAATATGCTCTTTGTTTTCAGGTAGCAATAATCCAGCTTTTAATATACAAATAAACTGAAGACTTCTTCCTCTATAATAAGTACTCTAGATACTCTGGATTTGTAATTTTTTACTAAAGGGCTGTACTGTGTGGGGTTTTTTTCATGCTGTTTTATTAATTCAGCAATGTACCTGTTTGTTCCTGTGAAAGGCCCCTGAGATGGTTCATCTAATACCAGATAATGAATGAACTAATTAGCAGATTAATAGAAATTGGTATTGTTCCAACAGTTGTGTGAGAAAATCCTAAATTAGCTTTAGGTGGGATTTACAGAGAAATGCACTGAAATGTCACAATAACAATGAACATATCCTGGATAAATGCAACTTTTCTGATGAATTTCAAAAGATTCATCAAGGTAGCAAAGGTCTGCCATTTACAGCACGCCACGTTATTACCATTCAGTCTTAATAAAGCCTACACTTCTGACTATCAAATGGCAAAAAGGTAAGAACAGCAGGCCCTCCATCGGCTCCTCCCGTGGTGCGTTCATCCCCTACCAGGCAAACACATCAAAAGCCTCTGCATTCATTATGTAAAATGGCGCAGCTGAAGGGAATTGATCTACAAGTAAATACAATGGTGGTAATATGTGAGAGAATGGTATTTGATTTTAATTGGCTGCTGCAAAGCAACCACTGGCTGTAATCAAGGAAGCAGTGGGGGATCCACAACACAGCAGTGCGCACCCACAGCATTAGGCTCGGCTCACTGGTAAACAGAAAAGCTCCCGTATTCCTCATCACATGGGACGAATAAAAAAAAAACTATAGCTATGATTTGCTTTTTAATTGATTTTTTTCTTCTTAATTGAGAGTGCATAGCTTAACACATTTACCAGAATCCCTCTTACGATGAACATTAACTGTAACACTAGCAAAACTCTGCCACCAGAGAGAGCCCTGTCCCTAACTAAAGCACGCTCACTGGTCTGTTGTATGTTCTGCTTCTATTACAGAGAAGAGGTGACACTCTGGAAACACCAAAGACGTATTTCTTAAATTGAAATAAATCATCGCTTTCTGAGAAGACTTTGATCAACTATGATGCTAATGGTTATTCATTTTAGATATTTTTGTTTGGTTTTGTCCTGGTGATCCTGTAATACTGTGTTCATCTCCAGATTATGGTGAGCAAACAGCCAGCATCTGATGTCCTTATGAGGTCAGTCATGATCCCCGGAGACCCGCAGAGGCCGAACTTCTGCTAGGAAATCCTTGTGGATATCAGCATGTCTGAGACAAGGTGTAACATTATATCCTAACACAAACACTGTGCTCAGCTCTCATTCAGTTATTGACTCTATTATTGGGAATCATCAGAGATCACAGATGTAAAATAACCGTTACGTGAATTGCTCTGGTAAAATTTGATTATGTGCAACATTTAGTGTTTATTTCTCTGTGGGATTCTCACCAGGATGCGTGTAGTTTTTAACCTACTGTCCCCTTCACAGCCCCACACAGTCCCACAGGACAGAATAGATTAGGATGATGCAGACAGACAGCAGTCAGCACACAATTGATTATTGGATTTATATCCATCATGGTGTACATTTACGCGTGCTCCCTCCGTGCCCGAATGTCAATGCGAAGACTGTAGCTCGCTGCGTTTATGATCAGATTGTGTTATTATATAAACTAAATGAACAATTAGATCAGTGGAGTTTGTGTCAAATGTTTCGATTTTGGCTTCGGCTTCCGGAAATAATAAACATCCAATCTGGCTTCTGACACTGACTCAAACAGCTCTCCTGATCCTGAACATAAACCTTTTAATTACTGCAAACATGGTTGATGAGTCTGAAGCTTGATTACTTGGCCTTCATTAGTCAGATTGTGGGCTATAGTGACTCCCACAGGCGCAGTTTGGCATCCATAAACGCTGCCAGGCTCTGCATTAAGCAATTACGTTGACCCTACTGTACACCCGAACAGGTGTGAGCACGCAGCTCACACAAACAGCGTGTGCTCTGCGTGCACATGCACCTGCATTCCTAACAAAACAGGCTGCATGTAGGAGTTTCAGTCTGTTCTGATTAAAAGAAAAGACTGATAAAATGTGCTTACTACTTGGTGTAATCCGGCCTGTCATAACGGTTTCGTGTTCTCAGTGCCACCTTGTGTTTTGTTTTCCATCAGGGCGGCCGGTGGCTGTCACTACACCGAGGAGGGATTGTTCTGCCTCAGGCCACCGCACTCTGATAATGAATGCTCAGCTCATTGGAAAATGAAGTGTGTCTGAATTATGTGGTCAGGATTTGGCCGTTGTTTGGGTGTATGAGTCAGGCGCAGGGACATGCGCGGACGCTCAGTTTGCACAACACTTCCTGTGTTGTAATGCTGATTCGGGGCCACGCTCGGGCTAATGCAGGTGGAAGGTATTGTTGATAGGACTTTTGTGCTAAACTGCATGATGAGCTTAAAACACGCTGTCCGGCAGCAGCCTTGGAGCTATTTTTAGACAGGTACAGCTGCTTCTCAGCACCCACCCTTAAACCAGCCATTCACCAGAGATTTATAACTCTAGCCCATGAGAAACAGCTGTAGCGTTTTACCACTTGGTTGTGCAGAAGCTGAGGTTTATCCAGAATTATATTTGTTTATTACAATGTCTTTTTCAATTTAGCTGACATCACTGTTAAATGCAGTTATCAGTTAGTGGGATGCATCACACTGCTAGGCATTTAAACCACAAGACTGGAGCGTCCGGTACTGCGGGGATGAGTCAGTGTACAGTCAGAGTGCCACCTGAGACCAACACAAGTTCAACACTTGTGGTGTGCCGCTCCCCCACATCATCATGTGTCCTGGCCCATCAGATCAGAACACTGTCTTCCAATAGGAAAAATAACAACACACTTTGTTTATCAGAGGAAAATACTTCCTGTTCCTACTGAAAGTGGCCTGGTGTTTCCTCGCATGCTTCATGTGTGCGTAAAGAAACGATTCCTGGGACTTTGTGTTTTTGCACAGAAAACACAGATGTGTCCTTTTGTATGTTTTCCGTGCCACGAGAGTCATATGTTTCCGGTCTTTCGGGCAAAGAAATTGGGCAAGTGTTGGCCACCTATAGCTTTAGAGAGTGTGTATGGATTGAGTGCCAGTGTGTGTGTTCGTTGGGGGGTAGAGACTAAAAAACACAGCCGCACTCTAACAGCCAAGCTTAAGTTTAGCTTACCACTGTCAGTTTGTTGTCTGCATTATTCAAAAGGACACTTTATCAGCCGGGGGCGACTCGTGTTAGCCTGCCTACACTGCGTGCTCCACACAATGATGTTCTACGCTGTCCCCCATTAACTGCGGTGTCTATTTCAGTAGCTCTCTATCCATTTATTGATGCATGTCTTCCATTGATCCCAGCATTGATTTGCCATGCAATCCATTACCCATCTGTCTGTTTCAGCGGGCTTTTAAATGATCCATCAGATTGAGCTATTAAGGAGAACAGTGGGTGAAGTCTAAAGGTTAGTGATACCTTCAAGGAGAGACAGGTTCCTTGTATGTGTGAGTGTAACTGGGGGTGGGTACAGGTGGTCTCACAAGTACAGGACTCAGCGTGAACCTCAGAAGCAGAGCTTTAAGAACTCCTAAGTTGGTTTTCTTCAGTTCTATTGTCCTTGTGTTATTTGACA